AGGAAGGAAGGAAGGAAGGAAGGAAGGAAGGAAGGAAGGAAGGAAGGAAGGAAGGAAGGAAGGAAGGAAGGAAGATCCATTAGAACAACTGTAGTAACATATAATTCTGTCAACCAATGGCATCAACTCCACAACCTAAGCTCAAGGCCCTCCAGAAGGGCTCCATCTTCACTAATTTACAGAAGGTTGCCATCTTCAGAGAAAGTCTCTAACGAAAGGCTGTTCCAAAATATAGGAGCCATGACAGAAAAAACACCACCTCTTGACTTAATGGAAGTGGGGGAATCCCAACAACTTTTCTGAGGATGGGTCAATTCTGGTTGGAGGAGTTTGTTCTGCAGGTACTTTTGAGCCAAGCCATGTAGAGTTTTATTGTTCACAACCAACATTTTAAATTGAACCAGGAAAATTATTGGCAGCCAATGCAGCCAGTGCAGTGCTGTAATAAGTTCTTGATGCCCAATGTCAGTTGGCTATTGCATTCTGCACCAACTGTACTTTCCAAGTGATCTTTAAAGGCAGCCCCATGTAAAGCACATTGTGATTGTCCAAATGAGTAATGATGACAGCATGAGTTACTATTGCTAGATTACCATTTTCCAGGGCTGCAAGTAGTACACCTGCCAAAGCTCATGAAGACCCTCCTGGCCATAGTTTCTACTTGCCCATCCAGCAGGAGCTGTGAATCAAGGAGGACCCCTCAAGTTGTAGACCTGCTCCCTTAGGATCAGTGATACCCCCTCAAGAGATAACACTAGGAATGACAGAGAACCTTGATGAACTAACAGCAATTTCATCTTGCTTAGGTTCAATTTTTAGCATTTTTTCCCATCCAGGCTCCAAATGCCTCCATAGACCAACACAAGACTATATGACCTCCTATAAGCCCTCATGCCACCATCTTAAACTTCATCATCTTCTTGAACTACTTTTCCAATCAAAATTTGAGCAATGGGGACTGTTTTGAAGTTTCATATCTATGCATGTGTGTCTATGAACTAGTGAACTAATTACACATCTCTCACCTTGCAAGTGCATCCATATGAAGCTCTTATTGTCTATCCTACTGTCTCATTTATGGAATTTTTATGAGTCTCCTAATTTGGACTCCATATTTTTTCCACCTCTTTGGTATTTCATCGCAAATATAGAATAGCTGTATGGTGCCCTTTCATTGGTAGCACTTGTTTTTGCTATTGAAAACAACTCATGTCTAACATTTTTAGCTAAATGAGATGATGATGATGATGATGATGATGATGATGATGATGATGATGATGGTGGTGGTGGTGGTGGTGAAATAAACGCATGTTCCACTTCATTAGTTTCAGACTTAGGGACAACCTTACAAAGCAGTTAAAATATATAAGAAATAATAAGTCTAAATGATTACACATAGGACATATAAAGGGGGGGGGATAAACAAATGGGAACAAAAATATTAAGCCCATGCAATGTTATAATTTATTCAATCTAGGCACTTTCCGACCTAGGCAGTATACAACAAAAAGCAAAGAAAATAGAGATACAATACAATGATGATAAAAAAGGAGTAAGAAAGGAATAAAGAACAAGAACCAATGGCAAGTCTAGCTAACAACACCCACATCCCCAAACAAATCCAGCAGGGGCCCCACCCACCCTAGCCCAAGGCCTGGGAGAATAGCCAAGTCTTTAAGGCTTTCCAGAGCACCATCAGGGTGGAAGCCACAGGGACATCAGGAGGGCAGGCGCTGCAACAGAAAAGGCGTACTTCCAGGGTTCTGATGGATGACACTCCAAGGGTCTGGAATGTACTAACCCTGTCAGCTAGAACTGACCGGGCAGACACCACAGGAGACAGGTGGTGCTTCAGATGACTTGTCCCCGCGCCATGTAGGGCTTTATAAATTATAACTGGAACCGTGAATCTATATAAAGAAAATTGAAATGTTCAATTTTCTTGAACAAAGAAAAGCAAATGAAAGGCCAATGCAAACTTCCCAGTGGATCGAATTCCACAATGGGGGACCAGTATTGAAAAGTCCTTATTCCTGGAACCCAGTAGTGTGATAACTCTTAACAACAAGCTAGAGAGAAAGGACACAGATTCATATGGAAAACACAGTCCTTCAGATAACTTGTATCCAAGTTCTAAGATCAAAATCCCAACTTTTAATTGAATCAGAAATGAACCTTCAGCCAATATAGCCAATGCAGAATAGATGCAACATGATCAGAATGCCTGGCTCCTACAAGCATCCTGCTGGCAATGTTTGGCACCAGCTGAAGTTTCTGGAGTGTTGCCAAAGGAAGATCCATGTATAATTGTGATAGAAAATATTTCAGTCGCTTTTTAAGGCTATGCCATCCCAAAACAGCAAGCAAAAAAAAAAAAAAGATACAAATCTATCATAGACCTTTCACAAGTAAACAGAGTACTTTGAGACTGCTCAATAATGTGCTTTTTATTATCTCAGTTAAGAGCAGTACTGAACATAAAACTTCTCAAAATTTGACTAAATCTTGTACTGGTGGGGCAAGGTATAACTCAGTAGGAAGTTTCAGTCTGGGGAGAACCATGAAAAAAAAAGCCTTATTTGTTATATAGATCATCCTAACCAATTTTACATCAAGCACTAGAGAAGTATATTTAAAAAGTATATGTATGTACAGTATTTATGTATGTATGTATGCATGTATGTATATGCACCACTGAAAGAAATTTTAGCAGAGTTACCATATTTCTCCTCTGGAAGGGAAGTTGCTTATGTGATGATGTGGTGTGCAAAATTTATTTATGCTTGCTTCACTGTCAATACTGAAACTGCAAATGGTTCATTTAAAGTTGTAGGATTTATTGTTCTTGCTAGAGCTAACAATGCTTCAAAATAAAAAAACTGCTGCTGATGCACCATTGTTTTTTATGTGAATGGCTCAATTATTTATTTATTTATTTATTTATTTATTTATT